GAATCAAGGAGCATGAATGAGCCTGGGGAGGGGAACTGCCAAAAGACTCTTGGGGTCATCTAGTTATAAAACACCTTTGTAGACTCTTCTAGCAGGAAGGCAAACAGGAGGCTGCTGGTGCTCTCCTAGCAATTCTTTATCCATTATCCATCCATCCATCCATCCATCCATCCATCCATCCATCCATCCATCATCTATCATCTATCCGCTGACACTGAATGTGAGCATAGTGGCTAGAATGTGCACATGGTGTCTGGTTCAGGCTGCAGCTCTGCATTTAACTATAGCACCTCGAGTAAGTGATCTAACGTCTTTGTGCTGTGGCCCCTTCATCTGTACAGTAGATAGAGTATATCTAATGCATGGCGTGCTGTGAGGACCAATTGAGTTGATTAGAAGTGCTTGTATCATAGCTGGACTTAATGTTTAAGATTATTAACTGTTATCAGTCACTCTGTAGTCTTAGATGCTCAGGAAAGTCATGATACCTACATTTATGGAGACTGTAGACCTTTAAAGTACTAGTTATTAAGCAAACAGTTACCTGAGTGGTATAACAATTGCTTCATTAGCAAGAATATGGTGTTCTAAGAGTAAAGAAAGGCACTTAGTCTTCGGATGGGCTAGAAATCTAAGAGGTGACATTTAAAATGGGCTCTATAGAAGTTAGCAGGTATGGATGTAAGGAGATGTTGAGTGACTGGAAAACATGATGTCTGAAGAGTTTGAGGAAAGGAAAGTTGCTTTGCCTGATGAGTTACAAGATGGCTTATTTTCCAGGAGGACTAGACCTTGGGAAGAACTTTATCTCATAAGGGTTTTGGGGCTGTGTTTAGGACTTTAGGCCTTATATCAAGGGTAATGGGAAGCTACAGTAAGATTTTAAGCATGAAAGTGACAGGGAGTGTGTCCTTTTTTCTTTTTTAGTTTAAAGGCTGTGTTGAATGTGTTATTAGGGAAAAGAATAATATAGGAGAAAGGTGGTGTTGGGGTGCATAGCAATAAAGATGGACAGGAATGCATGGATTTGAGGTGAACAAGAATTATTGAAGGTGAGCCGATTCAGTTTGGGGGACTTAGGGAGGTGCCAGGTGTGGGGCCTGAAACAGCACTGTAGACTGTTGGTGCTGTATACTGGAGGAATGGGATTAGGTTGAAGTTCACTTTTGGACATGCCAGATTAGAGATGTTTCTGAGACATGTGAGATATCGAGACAGCAGCTCTGTGCGTGCTCCTGAGTTTAGGAGAGCTACCTTGGAGCTAAACATGGGAAAATGGCAGGCATAGATGGCACATCTGTTGAAGTTAAGGAGATGTTTACCATTGTGTGGACTGAAAAGAAGAATGTCTAGTAGAACTCGGAGGGTTGGAATGAGCCCTTAGAAAATCTGAAGATGATGGCTGACAGGGAAGCAGGAAAGAACAACAGAGAGGAGAAAGTCTGTCCTGTGGAGTGTCATGAAGACAGGAACAGAAATTACAAGACAGCGGTGGATATGGGGTGGGACCTCTCAGTTCTTTTCCGTGTAAAAGAGGAAAACAGGATGGTTTGTTAAGTTAGAGGGAGAGCTACTTCCGAGGACTTGGAGGGGGACTGAACTTGAAGGAGTACTGCGTTTGAAGCTGTGTGGAGTGTGGATGAGTAGTGGATGCACAGGAGTTTATTTAGCCAAGGGTTGGAGAGCAGGGGAAGGAGAAGGAAGCTGGGGCTGGGGAGTAGACAGGGAAAGGGACCCAGGCAGCTCCCACAGGCAGGAGTGACTGATAGAGCCAAGACTAAGAGAGAGTCGATAGGGTAAGCTTTGTAGAAAGCAGGAGGGCAAGGATCCAGAGCAGAGGATGCCCATTGTTAGGAGGAAGAGTAGAGAGAAAAGGGGTGATGTGCCACATGCTGGTGAATGCATAGATGGTAGAAGCCATGAGCAGTGCTTTCACTCTCTCTGCAGAGGTAAAGATGAGAAAAGAGATGGTGCTCTGAGGTGTAGGGAGAGCAGGAAAATGTGGAATGGCCATTGCGGAAGGGAAGCTGTAATCAGTCTAGTTCTCACTTCTCATGGGAGTTACAGGAGCCTCAGCAAAGCTGGCCTTCTCTCCACTGTTCTGGATTCAAATTCTCAACTTCACTTGGCTGTACTATGCTGGTTTTTTTTTCTTTTCTTTTTTGGTTTTTCGAGACAGGCTTTCTCTGTGTAGCTTTGTGCTTTCCTGGATCTCACTCTGTAGCCCAGGTTGGCCTCGAACTCACAGAGATCCGCCTGCCTCTGCTTCCCGAGTGCTGGGATTAAAGGCGTGCATCACCACCACCTGGCCTATGCTGGTTTTTCTAAGTGGTTTTCCTGACTTACTCAGGACTGCTTGTAAATCCTCTTCCATGTTTCTATCAAGATGACTTTAAAACAACAACAAAATGCTCACCCTGGAAGCATTCATAACCTTTGTTAAAAAAAAATAAAACAGAAGGGCAATGGTGATGCACATCTTTATTCCCAGCACTTGGGAGGCAGAGGCAGGTGAATTTCTGTGAGTTCGAGGCCAGCCTGGTCTATAAAATGAGTTCCAGGACAACCAGGACTACACAGAGAAACCCTATCTCAGAAAACCAAAAACTCCACCCAGTCATGTGGTGCTTGCTTTTAATTCCAGTGGTGGTGAGGTAGAAACAGATGGATCCTTGGCTCCCTGTCCAGTTAGTCTAGTCCAATAGGTGAGTTCCAGATAGCGAGAGATACTATCTCAAAAAAGGTGGTATGTGAGGCATTGCATAGTGCTATCTTTTGACCTGCATATGGATATGTACACATGTGTATCTATATCCCCACACATGAGCATCTGCATATACATGAACACGCACATATGTACAAAGAAAGCAAGAAAGGTATTTTGTTACTAACTTAAAAAAATTGTGCCTTTAGTACACAAAATTTGATCAGTCCTAGTGATGTGGTTTATTACCATCTTATCATTGGTCCTCTCATGGCTCATTTTTAAAAAAATTCAGTTTTAAATAAAAAAATATTTCTCTCTGTACATATGTGTATGCCTGTGTGAGTTTATGTGTTGCATGTGCATGCAGGGACCTGCAAAGGCTGTTGGAGCCCTCAGAACTAGATTTCGAGGAGGGTCTGAACCATCATATAGGTTCTGGGAATAGAACTTGGGTCCTCTGCAAGATCAGTAAGTGCCTTAGTCCCCTGAGCCATCTCTCCAGCTTCTTACTCAGCTGTTGTTAGTAGGAGTAGGAAGCAGGTTGGGAGTGCAGCTCAGTGATGGAGTCCTTGCCTTGTATGTGAAAGATGCCCCGGATTGAAGCCCCAGTGCTTCAAACCAAAAACATAATGTATTGAGCAGTTTCTCACTGTGTCTAGGACTGCCTTTGTCCATGGTGTCAAGTATATGTACTGATTTCTAGGATCATCCTTCCCTTGGTCCCTTTTAATATAGCTTCATTGCCTCTTTCATATTTCTGAAATTTACTTTGAAAATTAATTTTCATGGGAAATGCAGATATGTGCACAAATTGAATCTGTGTTATTTACCATTGAATTTTAACAATTACCAGTATGTAGCCATTCTATTCAGGCTCCTGCCCTCTGACCATGGATTAATTTGAAGCAGAGTCTAGATACCATGTTTTTATATGTATGCATGTATACAATATATAACATGATATATAATTATATAAATAGCACTATGTAATATAAATATTGTTATGTATTTTGTATATGACGTATTTTATTTGTATTTAAAGAAACTTAGCTGTATGCAGTCTTTTTGAGAATACAGTTTCGTTTGTGTTTTGAGACAGTATCTTGCTATGTTGGCTAGACCAGCCTCAAATACTGGTCTTGCCTCAGCCTCAGCAACATGGATAACAGCAGCTTGCTTCTGCACCTGGCCTGAGAATATTTTCTTCACAGCATATTACAAGATATATTTGTCTTATAGTCATTATTTATAATTTTAATTTTTGTATAATAATCTGTTTAAATTTAGTACCCTTCTTCTGTGGATGGCAGTTTGGGTTGCTACCTATCTTTTGTTACTCTGTATGGTCCATCCTGCTGCCTGGCAGTGTCTCTTGTGGAATTACAGTGTGTGTATATGTATGTGTGTGTATGTGTGTAAAGGTGTGACTAGTCATCATTAGGATATGATGGCAATTTCTTCCTCAAAATGTTTACAAAGAAATGGCTTCAGCTTTGGATTTTTATCATGTTTATTCTGTTATTATTAAGATTAATTGTGGTAGTGTTCTGATTAATAGAATCAACTAGGTAGCTATTTTTCTTTCCCTCTCTGTTCATGCCCAACTGGGTTACATTCTAGGACTGTTAATAGTAAACAAGACAGATTAAATTTGACGTTTGTAAGTTACAATTCAGGCTGTTTATTTTAACTCTCTTAGTGACCCAGCATAGCCCCAACTACCTTTCTTGTTTCTTATTTTTTCTATTCCCTGTAACTCAATACAATGAAATATTTATATTAAAACATGATGTTATGTTTTGGTTCTGTGGCCTTGCAGATGCTTTTAGATATGTCTTTAGTCCTCCCCTTCACCGTCTCACCTCTGAGCCTTGGTACAGACTTCGTCTGTTGAGGAATCTTTGGTCTCCCAGTTGGAGTTGATTTTCATGCTCTGTACTCCTTTAAAACTTGGTTTATATTTGTGTATATAGTGCTGTGTTATACTTGCTGATTTTCTACTCTAACAGAAACCATGCAGCAGGGGCATAGAACTCTTATGTTTCCACTGTCCAAGGAAATACGTGAAGTGTAGTGTAGGTATTTAGTAGATGCTAAGTGAATATGAAGAAAGAGAAAGTCAGGGACATATTTTGAAGGAATAAATGTTGAAATTTGATGATAGACTTGATAGTGAATGACAGACTAAAAATTCAGATGTGTGTACAAAGCTTTTTGGGAAACTGGAAGGACTTAAGTATATTGGTGTAGAAGTCAGGGTAAAGTCAGATAGGCCGTGCAGTATTACAGTGTAGCTAGTTTTGTGCTTGTGAGTCAGTCACAGGAATCTACACACACCCGTACATTATGTCTTCCAGGTGCAGAACTTGGCAGTGAGGAACCAGCAGGCCTCAGCTCAAGGACCCCAGATGCCAGGCTCCACTCAGAAGGCCATCCCTCCTGGAGCTTCTCCTGTTTCTGGCCTCTCCCAGGCTTCTAGCCAGGCCCTAGCTGTGGCCCAGGCTTCTTCTGGGGCCTCAGGCCAGTCACTGAACCTTAGTCAAGCTGGTGGAGGCAGTGGGAATAGCCTCCCAGGCTCGATGGGCCCAGGTGGAGGTGGCCAGGCGCCTGGGGGCTTGGGTCAGTTGCCATCTTCAGGATTGGGTGGTGGAAGCTGTCCCCGGAAGGGCACAGGAGTGGTGCAGCCCTTACCCCCAGCTCAAACAGTGACTGTGAGCCAGGGCAGCCAGACAGAGGCGGAGAGTGTGGCCACCAAGAAGGCAGACGCAGATGGGAGTGGCCAGCAGAGTGTGGGCATGAACCTGACCCGGACGGCCACGCCAGCCCCCAGCCAGACGCTTATTAGCTCAGGTAAGGTGTCACCTCTCACAGTGTCATTAATCTCTCAGAAGTCATTTGAAATACTTAAGAGTCCCCCTCCCCCTTTTAAAAATTCTTGGCAAGGGAATGGCAGAAGGAAAGAACATCTTGAACATGCAGCTCAGTGACAGGAGAGTGAGCGGTTGAAGATCTTACCAGTTTCCTCCGAGCAGCAACCGCCTCTAAAGTGCTCCGTCTGCTTTCATAGGGCTCTGAGTTTTACAGTTTGTCCTGTTCAGTGGCTCACAGAATTCTAATGGGATTGACAGATGTGCTAGAGGTGACTCTTGGAAGGCAGATTCCCTGTTCTCTTGCTACTTACAGAGTAGATTCAAGTGTGAATGCTCTCCTCTTTTTAGCTAGAGTGTAAATACCAAAGGTTCTTAAGACCAGCAAGAGGAGCTGTGGCTCAGTGTGTGTGGCTGACTTGTGATTGCTTATATCAATAGTCAGGACAAACGGAATTAATAAGAACAGTAACCCTAGTTTGTACTTGCTTTCAGGCTGGGTCAAATGTAGCCAGTATCTATACTTGGTAATGTTGGTTTTTGTCTTCTTTGTTTCTGTCACCTTAATCATTGATGTGTTTGGATAATTTCATCACAAACATGACTGATTAGATAGATACCTTAGCCTTCCTGTCCCCGAGTGCTTTCACACCATATGCTTTGAGCATTCTTTGGACAGACTAGTCCATGCAGGGCAGAGACCGTCAGCTCCAGTTTGCAGCAGAGCAAACAGTCGTCAGAGCCTGTGTCTGCTTTCTTAAGACTTTTTAGATGGTGGCCTCATGTGATGAACTTTAAAATGGAGGCGTTTGTGCAGGATGTTGATACCTTTACCTCTGGGTATTTATTCTTTCCATGAATATTAAATACATCTTATGTATCAAACACTAGAATGGGTTCTAGCGATGTCAAAATGAATAAAACATGGATTCGGTCTTGAGGTAACGAAGGAGGGGTCAACCATTCTTTGCTAAGTACCAAGTGAAAGGGTAGGATGGTTATAGCAAAGAAAAAAGAACTGACCGAAGGTGATTAAGGGACCTCCCTCCATTCATCTCTTCCTTCCACTGTGTGTGTGCGCGCACATGCACACACTTCTTGGGGTTGAATCTAGGCCTTAAACATGCCAAGGCAAATTTCTATCACAGAACAGCCTTAGTCCTGTCTTTCTTTTTAACTTCCATTTGGAGAAACTGCTCACTAAGTTGCTTAGGTAGGCCTTGGACTCGCCTGAGTCACCTGAGTACTTGAGCTTCCAGGCTGTGTCCTTGAGACTTTTGTCCTGGAGGTCGTCAGTAATGTCTAATTCAGTGGAAAGAGTCTGAATAAAGTGATGTCCTGGAGGTCGTCAGTAATGTCTAATTCAGTGGAAAGAGTCTGAATAAAGTGATGTCCTGGAGGTAGTCAGTAATGTCTAACTCAGTGGAAAGAGTCTGAATAAAGTGATGTTGAAATTCTATGAAGGCTTGATTTCCATTCACTGTCTGATTTCCAAATGATGAGATTTTCATTTATTGATTCCAGCATTGGGTACATCTTAGACAGACGGCTTTGTTTTTAATTTAGGATTATTATTTCTGCTTTTTCCCTCTTTGTTCCATTCTGGCTTGTTTCACACATAGCCACATACACACAGATCCAGCCCCATTCACTGATTCAGCAGCAGCAGCAGATCCACCTCCAGCAGAAACAAGTGGTGATCCAGCAGCAGATCGCCATCCACCACCAGCAGCAGTTCCAGCACCGCCAGTCCCAGTTGCTTCACACAGCCACACACCTCCAGTTGGCCCAGCAGCAGCAGCAACAGCAGCAGCAGCAGCAGCAGCAGCCGCAAGCAACAACCCTCACTGCCCCTCAGCCAGCCCAGGTCCCACCTACTCAGCAGGTCCCACCCTCCCAGTCCCAACAGCAAGCTCAGACCCTGGTGGTCCAACCCATGCTTCAGTCTTCACCCCTGTCTCTTCCACCTGACCCAACCCCCAAACCACCCATCCCCATTCAGTCCAAACCACCTGTAGCACCCATCAAACCTCCTCAACTGGGAGCTGCTAAGATGTCAGCTACCCAGCAGCCACCACCACATATCCCTGTGCAAGTTGTTGGTACCCGGCAGCCAGGTACAGCCCAGGCACAGGCTTTGGGATTAGCACAGCTGGCAGCTGCTGTGCCTACTTCCCGGGGAATGCCAGGGGCAGTCCAGCCTGGCCAGGCCCATCTGGCCTCCTCGCCACCTTCATCACAGGCTTCTGGTGCACTTCAGGAGTGTCCTCCCGCGTTGGCGCCCGGGATGACCCTTGCTCCTGTGCAGGGAACGGCACATGTGGTCAAGGGTGGGCCGACAGCCTCCTCCCCTGTCATGGCCCAAGTCCCTGCTGCTTTCTACATGCAGTCTGTGCACCTGCCGGTGAGTGCTGTTTGATCATTTCAAAGATACTACTACTTACCTGCATCCTTGTGGGCTTGGGACTGAGTGGAAATAGAACTTAATTTTATAGGTGAATGAAGAGTTGAGAAGGTGAATGCTGGCATGTGTGTGCTCTTTTTTAAGAGAGAGGTTTTTATATCTATATGTTTATATATGTTAAATATATGTTTACATAAACATAAAAATATAAAATAGCTAAACTTCAAATTCATAAATTTATTACTAAAATTTTAGGGCTTTTATATGTATAGTAATTAGATCAAGAGTGTCACTGGGTAGTGGTGGCGCACACCTTTAATCCCAGCACTCAGGAGGCAGAGCCAGGTGGATCTCTGTGAGTTGTGAGTTGTGAGTTTGAGGCTAGCCTGGTCTACAGAGTGAGATCCAGGACAGGCACCGAAACTAAATGGAGAAACCCTATCCCGAAAAACCAAAAAAAAGAAAAAAAAGCATGCTTAAACAAGTCTGTCTTCGTAATGCCAACAGTTCTTAGTTGCTCTACAATGAGTCTTTCAATCCTAAGTCAGGACTAAGTGGTGTCTTTCTTGTCTTGATCCAGAAGTTACACTAATTGGGGACGACCAAGAAGTTTAGTGTATCAAAGGAAATAAATTTGAGCATCTGGAACTAAGAATATTCTCAGGAAGTATGCAGTTACAGTGTTCCTTTCACACTTAGATCTTAGTTACTTTCTTGGTTGTTCATCTTTTAGGGTAAACCCCAGACATTGGCTGTGAAACGAAAAGCTGAGTCTGAGGAGGAGAGAGATGACGGCTCCACATTGGGCTCTGTGCTTCCCGCAAAGGCATCACCAGCATCAGAGAGCCCAAAGGTGCTGGAGGAGAAGAACAGTGTTGGAGGTGAGTAACACAGGAGCTAAGAGATAAATCGAGTTCAGTGGAAAATGGGCCTGAACTTGGTGAGCAGTAAATAGATACAGAAACATGGGCTCCGTGCTGAATGATCAAATACGAGCATGTTGTGGAAGATCAGACTGCCTCAGTAGTAGGGGAGTTAGTTGTGTCATATCATAGCTGTTCCTTAATGTGTGTTTTTGTTTTGTTTTGTTTTCAGAGAAAGCCGAACCAGTGGCCAGTTTGAATGCTAATCCTCCAAGCAGTGACTTAGTAGCCTTGGCCCCTACCCAATCAGCACCACCTCCTACTCTATCCTTGGTGTCCAGACAGATGGGTGACTCAAAACCCCCACAGGCCATTGTGAAGCCACAGATTCTCACGCACATCATTGAAGGCTTTGTTATCCAGGAAGGAGCAGAGCCTTTCCCGGTGAGGGCAGGGCCTGAAAGTGGGACTGGGAGGAGAGAGATGATCTTTTTTTCAGATTCCCCTAAGAACAGAAAGTGCAGGACTACTTAGTCAATAGAGAACCGTTCATTATGCTGCTTACTTAGTTACAGAGGAGGGAAGGAATGCAAGGGGAGCTTTTGGACCAGAAAGTGAAAATACTGGGAACAAAAGACACGAAGGTTGTTTAGTTAAGTACACTAGGTGGTCATAACCACAACCGAGTTGTCTTGATTCCTTGCACCTTTGTGGAGGGAGTAAGTGTAAGAATTTGTTCTTCATTGACTTAGATGGAAAAAGTCATTTAGAGACCCTTGGCTGCCATATTGAAAGAGCCTGGGGCTGGAAAGATGCCCCAGCAGTTAGCAGCATATATTGCTCTTGCAGAGGACCTGAGTTGCATTCCCAGCACCCATGTCACACAATTTACAGCCACTTATACTATACTAACTCTAGCTCTTGAGTGTCCGACTTTGGTTACCTGGCGTACATGTACACATACACACACCCACACCCACATTCACCCCCCACCACCGGCTGAGTGTGGTGGCACACACTTTTAATTTGAGCCCTTAGGTGGCAGAAGAGCAGGCAGATCACTGAGTTCAAGGCCAGCCTGGTCTACATAGCAACTTCTAGGATAGCCACGGCTATACAGTGAGACTCAGCCCCAACTCCCTTCCCCATTTCCTCCCAGAAATATCTTAAGAAAAAAAAAGAAAGAGATCCCCTGTGAGCCAGATTTGGCCTTCAACTCAGGACTCATCCAGGCAGGGACATGGGAAATGTCATGGAAGGCTGTAGAGGGGAAAAAAGGATTTAGGCTACCTTAACTGGTCTTTCTCTGGGACAGGTGGGATGTTCTCAGTTACTGAAGGAATCTGAGAAGCCACTGCAGGCTGGCCTTCTGACAGGGCTGAATGAGAGTCAGTCAAGTGGCCCTTTGGGAGGAGACAGCCCCTCCATAGGTAAGGAGTGGATGCTCATGGAGATGTCTGATGGGGATGAAGACTGAACCCGGTTCTAGCACATACTACGCAAAAGTTCTACGACTGAGCCACATCCTGAGAGGTCATTCTTTTGAGACAAGGTCTCACCATGTAGCCCAGGCTGGCTTTTAATTTCAGATCCTCCTGAGTCTGGGGATTACAGGCTTGGGTCACCACACCTACCCAGTCTTTATGTATTTAAAGTAGGACATTTAGGGAAAGTCTGTCTTGCACAGACGTGTTCTGCTGAGTGTGTGGAACCATACAGAAGGCACTGTAAACATTTTTGCCTACGCTTTTGTAGGTCTTTGTGGAAGAAGAGTGTTGTATCTTTCTCTGTATTGGTCAGCCTCTTCCATATTCAGAAGAGTCCTATCTGAAATCTGAGTTGAACCAGAGTAAAAGGAGTAAGAAATAATCTGACTTAAGGTTGAGAAGATTTTAAAGTCTCCATCTCTCCAGAGTCTTGCCTGCACCTAGATATGTCTCTGACTTGCTGTCTGTGTAGCTAAGGCTGACCTTCACCTTCCTGCCTCAGTATCCTGTGTGCTGAGATAATAGGCCTGTACTCTTATGCCAAACCATGCACTTCTTGAGGGACAGTCCTTTTGGGTGTTTGTTTTTAGGCATTCTCAGTTAGGTTGTGTAGGTCTTTGCAGAAAACCCTGAGGAAAGTGCGTATCCAGTTCTGAGCCTAATAGTAATCGTGGGGCAGCAGAGACTCACAGTCGTCACTCACGAATGCCTTGTTTTCCAGAGTTAGATAAGAAAGCCAGTCTCCTAAAGTGCGAGTACTGCGGGAAGTACGCCCCGGCAGAGCAGTTCCGTGGCTCTAAGAGGTTTTGCTCCATGACGTGTGCAAAGAGGTACACTGGGCACCAGCCAGCTAACCCTCATTGAATTTCCCATTGCATGTCTGTCTTTTTCATAACTGGTGCTTTGTCCCTCTTTGCTTTCATTCTCCTCCCCAAGTCAACTCTTACAACATCAGTTCATATTTGTGAAAGGGCAGTGTGTTGTTTCCATAGCACCGTGACATCTTCTGTGTACCCTGACCTGTAGGTACAATGTGAGCTGTAGCCACCAGTTCCGCCTGAAGAGAAAAAAAATGAAGGAGTTTCAGGAAGCCAGCTACGCCCGTGTTCGGAGGCGAGGACCCCGCCGCAGCTCTTCCGACATTGCGCGTGCTAAGATCCAGGGCAAGCGCCATCGGGTGAGCTGCTGTCAGAGTCAGCTAGCCTGTAGAGTGCCCCCCCCCATTCCTTTGCCTGGGTAAAAGCACTGGATACAGAGCTCTGGTTTGACCATATTGTAAGAGACTCTCCTGTCTCCTTCCATCTGACTACAAGTTTATACGTCCGTGATGAATCCTTCACTGTACTTCAGATAATCCAGGGACAGCCAAAGAAATGATATTTGAACGGTGCTGTAGAGTAGTAGGCTTTGTGCATCTGCAAATGAAGTGCAGCCTTCGTTTACCTGTTCAGATAGTTTTCCTGTTTAGCTCAGGGTTGCGGGGAAGGGAGGTGGGAGAAGGAGCTCGTGATGCTGCTCTCACTGGCTGCACTGGTTTGCTGTCTCTTCTGAAGGGTCAGGAGGACTCGAGCCGGGGCTCGGATAATTCCAGTTATGACGAAGCACTCTCCCCAACATCTCCTGGGCCACTGTCAGTAAGACCTGGACATGGAGAACGTGACCTAGGAAACACCATTACAGCTCCACCTACACCAGAATTGCATGGCATCAACCCTGTGTTTCTGTCCAGTAATCCCAGCCGATGGAGTGTGGAGGAGGTCTACGAGTTTATTGCTTCTCTGCAAGGTACTGGGAGCCTCTTCAGCAGAACCAGGCCTGAGTTCCCTGAGGTCATCCCACAAGGGCACCTGACTGACCTGGAAGCAGCTGGGCTTTTGTCTGGCAGCATGGGGGCTGCTTTTCTACAGTGTCGTTCACTAATTTCCTTCTGGGTTGACACCATTACAGTGTCTGCGGGGGTTTTTTGGTATTTGTTTTTATTTTGAATTAACCATATTTCTCACTTTGATTTTTTTGGATAAGTCTCTTATTTGTTGTATGTGAGTAACCGAGCATGCATGACTTTTTCAGTGGAGTGAATTAGAAAAGCCTTTGGCGACTCACTTTCTTCAAGGGAGTGCTGCCTCCTTAAACATGGGTTTTGTCTGAATTCTGGGTCCTTAAAGGAAAATGCTGCAGAAGCTGTTAATCTTTTTTGCCGTTGTTAAAGAAACCATGTGTGTAGTTCTTCTTTTTCTGTATAGCAGCCCTGACTGTCCTGTGACTTGCTGTGTAGACCAGGCTGGTGAACTCAGAGATCCCCGTCTGTGCCTCTTGAGTGTTGAGAGATTAAAGGCGTGCGCCAGCACCACCCAACTAAAGTGTAGTTTTTTTTTTGTTGTTTGTTTGTTTTTTATCTCTAAAGGAGTTATGAAGTTATTTCTGTGAACAACTTGCTGCTTTCTTGAAGATATATATAGAGTAGCTGGTGGCTGTAATTTCACTTGCTTTCAAAGCTTGCCTCAGATCTATTACTGAATTTAGTACGGTGCTTTAGAATTAGCTATCACTAGGCCTGTTTCTCTTTAGTTTCTTCCCATGTCTTCTGACGCCACCATGCAGTTTCTCATGTGTTCCCATCTTTTCCTTTTAGGCTGCCAAGAGATTGCAGAAGAGTTTCGTTCCCAGGAGATTGATGGACAAGCCCTTTTATTACTTAAAGAAGAACATCTTATGAGTGCCATGAACATCAAATTAGGTCCTGCCCTCAAGATCTGTGCCAAGATCAATGTCCTCAAGGAGACCTAATGTGGTCCTCTGCACAAATCAGCCTAAAGCAGAAGCGCCAACTATTCAGGTTCTAACCTGGGGCCAGCAGACTTTGCAGGGAAGAAGAGCGAGCTGTTCCTCTGTGACTCCCTATGGGGGATGTGGAGACAGAAGTGCAAGAATTGGTTGTTGGTGCTACATGGTGGCAGCTTTGACATTTTCTCTGGGTTTCACCTGCACACACACACACACACACACACACACCCCATTCTCACTAATCACACCTACTCTAATCCAGTTTTTAAGCAGGCAGACTAGAGACTAGGACTGCTGCTCCACCTTATCCGGGAGTGGAGTGACTAGCCAGGATGTCACTTCTCCAAGAGGAAGAATGTCTTGTATGGTAAGGCAAGGAAATGGGTGAAATGTAGGTTTGCCTCCCCAGTGGGAGGCCGGTTTTCCCAGCTTGTGTGACACAGGTAGCGAAACCTGGTGCTCTCCTCCTCTGGACTGTCTCATTGTGGCTGTAGCTCAGTTTTCTGTTCATTTTCTCCCTTAGATATGACTGTTTCTTCCTGCATCCGTAGCAGGGTCACCAGCCAGGGTAGACACTTGGTCGGTATCTGATTGGCTGCAGGGACTAAAGGCGTTTGACTGACAGGTGTGGCTGCTGTCATTCTTTCTGCATCCCCGCCCCTTCTGATTTGTTACCATCTTCAACCTTTTCTATCCCAACTCTGCTCTTTCCTATAGCTTTACAAACAGGAGTGTGTGGGGCTAAGGTCAGGATTGTAAGCACCTGCCTTGGGCACTATTCCTTATACAACAAAATATTAAATATTTTTTCTTCCTCAGTAAAAGGCTGAAAAGTGGTCTCCATTGTCTTACTCCATTCTACTCCTTATTCTCCCAGACACAAATGACGAAGCCAGCATGTTTTGTATGTTTTTAATTATTATGTTTTTGTACAAAAAGTGGTGTATTCTTTTCATTTAAAATACTGGGGAAGGATGCAAACAACAAATGAGATGCCTTTTTAAAAAATAACATTAATTTTTCTGTGTAGAAAGAAAACAAAAAATCCCACTACCATTGCAAGAGTATTGAGAAGTTAGAATGACATCATTTCATTTCCTTCTCTAAAGGTAACAAATGGTCCTGCCTTTTCCATATCTCCTGTGTTCAGATGAGCCGTGTTGTTACTTAGTGCCTTAGGAGCTCACTATTATAGGAAGATCAGCCTGTGATTCTGGGCACATGGGCCTAAACAGAAAGAAGTGGGAGAGGATTCAAAACCTTTTCTCATAGGTACGTGGGTAAGACACTTCCCTGAGCCAGCAGGAGGGACCGGGGCAGCAATGTTCCCTACCCAGAGCAGAGAACTAACTGCAGAGCCCTCCATGTCCACTTCTGCCTCCATTCCCTGTCTTTAAGATTGGGAAAAATATAAAACGCCAAACTACAAATCTGTGAGAAAAGTGCAGTACAAGTTTAGAAGTACTGGTAGAAGCAAATGAGCAAGAACAGGTTAACCAGCATTTTACTACAAACAGAAGAAAACCAGAGATCCCACCACAAAGTAACACACAGATTCTGGGGCCTCTATAGCGCCGGTCTATTTCCTTTAGAACAGGACTGCTTAATGAGTTATTTGGGCTACATGTGGATTTATAACCATGGCCCAGAGCCCGATTCTAGCTATCAAGCCACGAAAGACCTATAAACAACATGATGGCACCTTGGAATCCTGTAGTTGGAAAATTTCACATTTTTTTTCCTGTCCTAATCCCACATAAGGGACATTTAAGTGACTCACTCCAGGCTCAAAGCAAAGGGCAGTATTTGGGCTCCAGCCAGGTAAGCACTGCAAAGCAACTCTACACAGTCCTCAGACCTCAGAGACTGCTAGAGGGGTGGTAACAACAGGAAGCAGTCAAAGGTACAGTCATCTTTGCTTTTTTAATTCAAGAAAGCCAGTGTCTCAACTTGTGAAAACGTTTAGACAGACCGGGCTCCTGGCTTTCTGCCCATTTAGCTGTCCTTGCTCTTCCTGGCGGCACAAGAGTCAGCCCTGAAGACCCTCCGTCTACCTTCCACTGTACCTGTGCAGAGGAGAAACAACAGGAGCAAGGGAGCAGTTTCGGGTCAGATCAAAAGCCAACTGGAAAGCAGGAATCTTAATGGCAAGGCAAGAGGAGAAGAGACGGCTTGAGAAGTCTGGCTGTGTATGCTTTGGTTTGGGGATTGACGAGGTGGCTGGACATTAAAAGTGCAATCACATTGGTAGCAAATGATCATCTCTTTCTTCTGACTCTTCCCCCAGCTGGTCATCCCCAACTCCACGATAGGCAGCAGGCATGTTGCGGGGTTTGGAACGGCACACAAAGTCACAACCATCCTGTACAGGTGAAGCAAAGGAAAGATGATCTCTGTTTTAGAGTGAGACAGATCATATAGTCTCAGACTGTGACAAGTGGTTTTCTCCAGGGGCCATAGAACACCCAAAATCTAAGGCTTAGTCCAGATTCACTTGCTACTTACAGCTACTAGGTTGCCAAGATCCTGCCAGAAGGCCAGATGAGGAAACTGTTCCATTCCCTTGGCTCCTACCACCAGTCGCTGGTATAAGAAACCCCCAATGATGTAGACAGCAACCAATGATGCAAATCTGGAGAGGGAAAGACACACAAAGTCTGTCACCCTGAAGTGGCACTGCATACCTCGAATCGCTACTTCGAAGGCCTAGGCTAACCTTAGCCATTTCCTAAGCTGTACTCTATGAATACAAACAAAAAGGGCTGGTAGCTTCTTAGAAAACCGAGGAGCACTGCCAATCTGACAGAAGCAAACGGGGGTGGGGGTGGATGATATGTGTTTCTTCAAAGTTCTACTGATATACTGGTAAAACTGTCGAGCCTTTCTGGGAAAAACATAAGCTGGTATGGTGGTGTACACCTTTAATCCCAGCATTCAGGAGACAGAGGCTAGGGGATCTTTGAGTGTGAGGACAGCCTGGTCTATCTACATAGTGAAGTCCAGGCCAGCTATAGCTACACATGAGACCATGTCTCATTTAAAAACAAAACTGTAATATTTACTGGGACTAAGCACTTATTCCTTTCATTTTTAAAAAGCCAGGTCTGGTCTGGCACACCTTTAACCCCAGCACATGAGAGGCAAAGGCAGGTGATTCTCTTGAGTTTGAGGCCGGCCATAGCAACACAGTGAGACTGTCTCCAAAAAGTTTGGGGTTTTGTTGTTTTTTGCTACTACCAGGGATTAAACCTAGGACCTCATGCATACAGATCAAGCACTATGTCACCAAGCTACACCCCAGCTTAATTTCCTCCAACTTGTATGGTCTTACTTTAGTCAGTCCCCTCTGATTTCATGTATGTAAACACATGTACGGAAGAGGTGGAAAGTACTCACATGACCAGTAAGATAGAGCCCACGCTGAGGTGGGAGGCTTCAGGTGAACAGGCTACGCTGCTGTCCATCTCAAAGAGGTACAAACAATCTTGGACTTTGTTTCGTTCCTCAGACACTGGGTTAAAATTGCCCTGATGAAGAGAGGACCAAACAGTAATTATGTATAAGATGCTTTCTTTCAACTTGTACCCAACAAATAAGACCACCCCTCAATAAATAAATAAACCCCAAACATTTGCTCTTGCTCCTGGTTAAGCAGCCGATTCTCCATGTATGGTGTGAATCTGGCACACTAAAATCTGAATTGGTTTTCTCATGTCCACTCCACATAGACTTGTCCTGTTAATTCCCTTCCCTCTGGTCAGGTCTTCCCATCTGTTCCCTGGGGCACCTCACCGCTAGTGTGTGTCGATTGCAGGAGATCATCACCACTGCGCGACGCTGTTCTTTGCCACAGTGGTTGTCATATTCATCACCCCCTTTATATATCAGCATGATCCAATTACCTGAGGAAGGACAAGAAGAATGGCACTATGGAGTGCAGGGGAAGCAGAGGTAACAATGGGTAGTATGGCAGAGTGGAATTAGCCACCCAAACTGCTTTTAACTAATGCTAACTGGTATGATCTGTACATCTGAATGCTAAACTAAAACTTTTCTGTTTTAAAAGACAAGACTTTTGCTATATACCTCTGGCTGGCCTTAATTCACTAATTATATAGACCAGGCTGCCTCAAACTTGTGATCTTCCTGCTTCTGCCTTCCAAGTTTTGGGGTCACGAACATGAGCCATCATGCCTAGCCTTAAAATTTGTTTCTTGACAAAACTTTGTGTTCCCTTGTTTTAGACAGTAAGAACTAGATATTTAAAATTAATCTTATCTTTTACATTAAAGGTAGGCAACAGAATGTGTGAAAACAAATTATTATCCGTGCTTCTAACATTGATGCACATTTTCTCAACACATAGCAAAAGGAGAGGAGGTTCCACATGGTTGCTAGGCAGCAGGGAGAAGTCCAAGATGACAGATGAATTCAAAGTGGATGTTTATTGAACTGGGAACACATCTCTCTCCTTTGGTATTTACTACTTTTAAAGTTCTTTGCAAAATACTGTCTGACTAACAACCATATGAAGTGAATGGGTTAAGGATGCTTTTAACTTTGCGTATGAGAAAACAAGATTTCAAATCAGTGAACTGTGCCTCAGAAATCCTGTGTGGTCTGAGTAAGAATGGCTCCCATATAGGCTCATAGATTTGAAAGCTTAGTCACCAGGGAGTGGAACTGATGAAAGGATTGTAAGGATTAGGAGGTGTGGCCTTGCTAGAGGAAGTGTGTCACTGGGGGTGGCCTTTGAAGTTGCAATCATCCATGTCAGGCCTAGAGTCTCTCTCTCTACCTATGGATCAGGATGCAGAACTCTCAGCTTCTTCTCCAGCACCATGTCTGCCTGCATGCTGCCTTGCTCCCCTCTGTGGTGATAGTGGACTAACTTCTGAAACTGTAAGCCAGCCTCCAATTAAATGCTTTCTAACAGTTGCCTTGGTCACAGTGTCTCTTCAGAGCAATAGAACAGTGACTAAGACACCATCACTAGGAAAACGATGATTTGGGTCAAGAGTGCACGTGTGTGTTTTCTTCTCTCTTTTTTTAAAATTTATTTATTTATTTATTTATTATGTATACAGTGTTCTGCCTGCATCCCTGCAGGCCAGAAGAGGGCAGCAGACCTCATTACAGATAGTTGTGAGCCACCATGTAGTTGCTGGGAATTGAATTCAGGACCTCTGGAAGAACAGTCAGTGCTCTTAACCTCTGAGCCATCTCTCTAGCCCTATTTTATTCTTTATGAATAAAATGAATAATGAATAGCTACACTGGATAACTTATCTGCTTATGGGAAGAAGTGCCCCCTTTCAGCATACATGTTCATGACATTTGAAAAATACAACTATGTTAGTTGTATAATGAATAGCTACACTGGATAACTTATCTGCTTATGGGAAGAAATCAGGCCATAAGTGCCCCCTTTCAGCATACATGTTCATGACATTTGAAAAATACAACTATGTTAGTAGAAGAAGGTGGTGAATTTTTTCTTTCTTTAAATACTGGTTTGCACAAAAAAGTTATTTTAACTGTCTACCCCTTTCTTCCATTTTTTTTTTTTTTTTTTTTTGTGGTACTAAGTATCAAAGCCAGAACTTGTGCATGTGGGCAAATGTTCTACCCTGAACTGTTTCCCCAATCCTATATTCTTTTCGTGAAAATTTTGTACTATCTTCAAACACAGAAGTGTCCCGAGCTGTGGCTCCAGAGCAGCTGTGGAACTAGGCAATGTGAGGTACAGTCTCAGGTACACCAAATTCCACATAACATGACATACTCAGAAAGTTGGGGAAGGCCACCACATATAGGATTGTTAGAGGACTGACATGGGATTAGTCAGCAGGAAATATCTTACTTCCATTGAAGAGGTGAGTCTCGTTGATTCTCCCAACCACCGTCTCCTTCCCATTATTTTTGCTGATCTGCACCAGGCCTGCCCCAGAGGAGTGGTTGCCAGCTTCCCGGCATACTCTGAATATGTAGCTGTACGTGTCTGAGCCCTGGCCCACAGTGCTCTCAAAACTACAGAAGAAAAGTAGGAAGAGAAAGAACAGTATCACTAGTTACCAAGCTCAGGAAAAACCACATCCCTCCCGTTGGTGACAACCAATGTGCTAAATGCACATTTGTTAAATTAGGAGATTGACAGCCTCACAGACTGTCCTACTTGATAACATAATCCATATCATTCACACACTCCTTCCACGTTAAAGCTGAAGTAAAGTCGTAAAAAGAAAAGACCCTTAATATAGCTAATTTCTTAACCCCTCTAGGGTTCTTCTCATCTACCTTTTGTTAAACAGTGGCCGCAGCCTGTCCAGGAGAGCCGCCTCTTGTTTTGACTCCTTATCCTTCTCTCCTACCAGGTCACAGGATTTTTCTTCTGTCTGCCAGGATTCTCTCACAGCCAAAGCCAGGACTAGCAACAGTAACAATTCAGTCTTCCAGCAGCCAGAGAAGGGGAACATCCTTTTGGGAGAGTGTTGAAGGCAGGAGCAGAAAAGAAATGAAACAGATAAATCACGTGACTGCAAAAATGAATGGTATTTTCATTATGCAAATTTAAAAAAGGAATGAATCTGCTTCAAAACAAACTATGGGGTCCAGTGTAATGTCAAATGTCTTTCATCTCAGCCCTCAGAGGCAGAGACATGTGGATCTCTGCGAGTTTGAGGCCAGCAAGAGATACCTGGTGAGTGACTGTCTCAAAAGACCTTCAAAAAACAAAAACCCAACAAAACAAAAACAAACTACGGGGTAAGAAGAAGAAAATAATGAATTTTTTTTTTTTTTTTTGGTTTTTTGAGACAGGGTTTCTCTGTGTAGCTTTGCGCCTTTTCCTGGAACTCACTGGGTAGTCCTGGCTGGCCTTGAACTCACAAAGATCCGCCTGCCTCTGCCTCCCGCGTGCTGGGATTAAAGGCGTGCGCCACCACCACCCGGCGAAAATAATGAATTTTGGGCTCAACCTTCTTTGCTTTGTTACTGTTTGATGAAAATTTACATCGTACTATCCCATTATTCAAACTTAAATACTGGTTTATAAATAAAGTCAGTGGCCTTCCCTAAAACATTCCAGTCATGACATACACAGATCCTCCAGTATGTCTAGCTTGAAGTTATTAGGAGGATGTGAAGTAGAGGAAGGAACCTGAATATGCTGGGTCCTAACATATCAGCATTCCGGGAGCATCTAGCAATCTTTCTTCATACTCACTGGAAGCATGTGGGATGGAGGTGAAGCAGTCACCTCAGTTACTTATGCATCATTTCTCTGGAAAAACCACCCAATCACAGAAGAAAACTCGGGTCAAAAGGGATTAGAAGGCTTCCAAAACCTACTCCAGCCTCTCCAAGTCACAAATCTCAAGGGCTTCTAGACTTTCGGTGAGATGGGTCTTCCCCCACTCTAAAACTCTGCACTGCTGCGTTCCTTCACTTACTGTCTGTATTATTCGAACAAGCCCATCCATGGCCCACGGGAGACATATATCTCCAGGTTATCTGTGAATGCAGCCCAACACATTTGTAGATGACATTGGGAAATGTTGAGAAATCTACAAAATGTTGAGAAGTTGGACATCCCTGTACCATCTTTGTAGTTAGGCCACAGTGATTTATGCTTGCAGAAGGTTTCACTCGTATCTATTAGTAGTAACCCTTCAGGCCATTGACATTGTT